AGCCAGGATGGTCTCGATCTCCTGACCTCGTGATCCACCTGTCTCGGCCTCCCAAAGTGCTGGGATTACAGGCTTGAGCCACCGCGCCCGGCCCAGAGCACGTAAATCTTTTACAAGTCTTGTAATTTTTAGAATAATTGTTTTTTCTTTTTTTCTGGAGGCGGAGTTTCACTCTTGTTGCCCAAGCTGGAGTGCAGTCACGTGATCTCGGCTCACCACAGCCTCCACCTCGCGGGTTGCAGCGATTCTCCTGCCTCAGCCTCCCGAGTATCTGGGATTATAGGCAGGCGCCACCATGCCCAGCTAATTTTGTACTTTTAGTAGAGATGGTGTTTCTCCATGTTGGTCAGGCTGGTCTCGAACTCCTGACCTCAGGTGATCCGCCCACCTCGGCCTCCCAAAGTGCTGGGATTACAGGCGTGAGCCACCGTGCCCGGCCCTAGAATAAGTTTTATAATCAGAAAAAGCAAACTTTTTCTACAGTGTAATTTGGACCACTGTGTGGCATTTCTTAGCATAGTTTTAGCACGCTCATTTTCACCCAGACCTCTGCTTGTGGGCATTACAGTTTTCAGCGTTCGGCTCTTCTAAACAGCACATCTACTGCAAAGTGTTTCCTTAGAATCTGAACTGTTTCCTCAGGATACGTTCCTAGAAATGGCCTTGCTGTTGTAAAAGTGTGCAGATTTTTCTTTTAAACAGGGTTTCACTCTGGTGCCCAGGCTGGAGTGCAATGGCCTAGTCAAGGCTCACTGCAGCCTCTACCTCCTGTGTGGCTCCTTCTGCAGTCTTCTGAGTAGGTGGGACTACAGGCATGAGCCACTACTCCCGGCTGATTTTTAAATTCTTTGTCAAGACAGCATCTCACTATGTTGCCCAGGCTGGTCTCAGACTCCTGAGATCAAATGATCCTCCCACCTCGGCCTCCCAAAGTGCTGGGATTACAGATGTGAGCACCATGCCTGGGCAATATGCTGATTTTGAAGAGGCTTTTCATACCTGCCACCTTCCAGAGAGGTTGTACCCAGGTGTACCCTCCACAGCAGAGAAGATGGCATCTGCCTCCTATGCCCTCACCCACAATGAGTGTAATCATTCCGAGCCAAAGGAAACTTGTCTGGACTGTGTTTGAACACAGTGAGATTGGAAATTTTTTTTTTTTTGAGACTGTCTCGCTGTGTCGCCCAGGCTTGAGTACAATGGCACAATCTCGGCCCACTGCAAACTCCGCCTCCCAGGTTCAAGCGATTCTCCCTGCCTCAGCCTCCTGAGTGGCGGGGATTGCAGGCGCCTGCCACCATGCCCGGCTAATTTTTGTATTTTCAGTAGAGACAGGGTTCCGCCATGTTGGCCAGCCTGGTCTCGAACTCCTGACCTCAGGTGAGCCACCACGCCTGGCCGATTGCACATTTTTACATGCTTGATCATATTTAGATTTCCTTCCTGAATTACTGATTATTTCTTTTGCTCATTTTTCTTCTGTTGCTTGACTTTAAAATTAACATCTTGGCCAGGTGAGATGGCTATAATCCCAATACTTTGGGAGGCCGAGGCAGGCAAATTGCTTGAGTCTAGGAGTCCAAGACCAGCCTGTGCAACATAGCAAGACCCGATCTCTGTTTAAAAGATTAGCAGGACGGCCGGGCGCGGTGGCTCAAGCCTGTAATCCCAGCACTTTGGGATGCCGAGACGGGCGGATCACGAGGTCAGGAGTTCGAGACCATCCTGGCTAACACGGTGAAACCCCGTCTCTACTAAAAAATACAAAAAACTAGCCGGGCGAGGTGGTGGACGCCTGTAGTCCCA